GCGCAGCCGTGGGACACCAGTGGCTGCCCCCTGGGCCAGCAGAGCCTGCTGGAACGGGGCACCTGCTTCAAGGTGAGTGGCTTTGGGACTGGGAGTGATGGCCTCACCTTGGAGGGTGTTATTGGGTTGAAATAATTGGGTTTCGAGTGGTAATAAACACTTGGCATCCAGTGGAATAGCCCTGGAGAGCAGCGAGCCCCTCGTGTGCCTCTGGGTTGGAGGTTTTCTTGCAGTTTGGAGGCTTTGGGATGTGGGGGAGAGTGGTGCCGGAACAAGGCACGGCTCCGTTAGCCCCATTGCTGGGAAATGATGTGAAAATGAACATGTGGTGACGTAGCACTCGGTTGATCCAGCCCAAAACCAATGCCTGCCCCTCTCCCTGTCCCTGCAGTGTGGACAGAAAGGTCACTACCCCAATATGTGTGGGAAGACTCAGCTGGGAATCCTGCTGGGGAGGTGACCTGAGCACTCTGGTATGGACTGTGACGGGAGGACACCGGATGGAGCGATGGAGACGGCTACGGGGGCAGCTGCTGGACTAGAAAAGCCAGTTGGGTTTGCTCAGCACTGGTTCTCACAGCATTTTCCACGAGGAGAAATCACAGCTCTCTAAGGCAACAAAAAGGGACCCTTCACAGCTCCTGGGGTCACTGCCCCTGTCCCCCTCACAGGGCTGAAGGGGCGAGGGGCTGGGGCAGATGAAGGTGTGGGGGTGCTGATGCCCTGGCAAGAGGGGCAAAGAGCAGCGTGTTTGAGAGCACACAGCACCAAGCAGGAAAGGAAAAAAAATCACAAAAGCTTTTATTGCTGGTGAGAGGGAGTTTGAGGGCGAAACACCTCTGACACAGTACAGCTACTTCAATAAACAGCTCACTTTTTTTTCTTAAGTGTTTTATTTTCCTTCACCCTTCATGCCTGTAACATGACCAGCCCTTTCCCAGACATGTTTGGTGATGGCAGGTCACAACTAGCACTCTCCTAACTGTCCTCGTTTGTCTGATGCAGACACGAGTTTGCCCTTTGGGCACAACAGCTCATCCAATGGATTTTTTTTTTCTTCCTCTGGAAATAGGGCGCTGCGGTCTGAGCGCTGCTGCTTTAATGTCTTCCCAAAGGTCCTTCCCTCAGAGCCTGACAGCAAAGAGGGGCTGGGGGCCTGCAGGGATCACCCTTATCCTGTTGGTTGGTAGCAAACCTCATCGTGCTTGTGTGGAGGTAACAGGGGGAAAAAGGGGTTTTGAACAAGTAAACTTAAAGGGAATGGTGATTGTGGCCTAAGCCCACACTGCCACAGTCCATCACAAACCCTACTGTCAGTCACCCAGACTATGCCATGTACATCTTGACTAATCTATATGAACAGCCCAGGTCACAGAGCTGTCCTGTGCCTGGTGTCCCAAAGCAAGATCTGGGGTTCTGCAGACTACAGCAGCTCTACTGGAAGCAGAGCCCTGAGGGGCAGCTCTGTATTTCTTCCTTCAGCACCGACTGCAGGCTGTCACTGTCACCCCTTTGCAGGAGGGTAACCAAAAAGCAGCTCCCTCAGGGATTAAAGAGCCTGTGTCTGGCTGTGAATGGGGCTCTGCTGGTCTGGATCCTGGTGGGAACACTGGTCCTGGCCACTTCTGCTGACTCCTGGTCCAGTATCTGTGACTGTTCCTTGGGTACTGCTCCAGCTTCCTCAGTGGTATTTACGCCAGCGATGACACTCTAGAAAAATTTGGGGGGAAAAAAAACCCAAATCAAACCAGTGTTAGCACAGTGCTACGTGTGTGTGTGTGTGCTTTGCCTGGCTGTGATGAGCAGGAGACTGCAGCCCTCTCTGTTTCTGTGCCACAGGGCTGAGTCCCGCTGGGGAAACCACACAAACACCACTGAATCCCTTGTCAGTTGTGAGTAAACCCAGGGAATGGGCGTTCAGTGTGGGAACGTCTCCTCCCTCTGCTTTGTGCAGGGTTTAAAAGTGCTGCCGCTGGCTCCTGGTGCTCTGCAGGGAGCAGCTGTGAATCAGCAACTCTTATCACCACTGTTATTAGCCCAACTCTTCTGCCAGGTCAGGATGCTGCTCTAACTGCGAAGTATTTAAACTATTTCGGAGCCTGAATTAACAGAAATGGTAAATAAACTTTCCACCCCCTGCCCAAGAATTCCTGACATGAGACAGATACCAGGAAGGAAACCTTACTGATGTGCTGGTAGCTCCAGCCGTAGCTGAGGAGGCAGTACCCGGCCAGCAGCATGGAGATCCCCGCTCCTCCACCCCTCTTCACGTTGATGTATTTGTCGTAATAGCTGCTCCAGGCTGTCAGAACAGAAGTGCAAGGGTCAAATCATGCCCAGTTCACTGGTTTCTGTGTAACTTTCCAAAGCCAAATGGTTGGGTCTATTTATTTATTGTTTTCCTGGCCGCTTGGACCAGGCTGCAGCAAGCAAATCGGGTAAGGGGGGACGATTCTGCCCCAAAAGCCAGGGTTTTAGCCTCACCTTTCTGCACTCCTCCAAGCAGTCCCTGGGGAGAGATGTCACGGGTGGCCAACCACAGGGGCAGCTCCCCCAGCCGCACGTCCAGCAGCCGCCTCTCTGAGAGGGGACCTGCGTGAGGAGAAGGCAGAGTGGGCAAAGAGGGGAAAGCGAAGGGCAACGTGCGTGGTGCTGCTGGTCCCTGTGCTGGGGGGTGAGCACGGAGCTGGTGTCTGGTGTGAGTGCAACAGACCTGGGCTTGGGACTGACTGCTTGGAAAGAAGAGGGAATTGTCTCTTCCTACAGAGTGAGTTGGCTCCACCAGCCCAAACGTGCAAGAAACTGGTGCAAACCTAAACAGAAAGGTAAACCACTGGTTGTGCTGGCTGGGGGGTTGGACAGTTAACCTCCTCAGATCGCTTTCTGCACAAGCCCGGCAGCTTGGTACTTCCTACCCCTCCTCTCCCACTCCCATCAGACAGTTTAGCCCGAGAGCGCAGTGAATCTCAGCAGCAGAGACTTTAGTTTCTCCCGTTACCTTGCTGGCCCTCTGAGAAATTGCCCTTCGGTGTCTTCACTGCGATGCCCACGTTGTCATCTCGGAAAGGCTTCCCTGGAATAATTCTCAGCCCATCATAATTAGGATATAAGTCTGGAAACCACTCCAAGCCTGTGGCTCCTGCCGGCGTGCTCCTGCCAGAGGCCTGGGGTAGACAGATGGGTTGGCTTTTGGAGGTGTGCAGGAAGAACTGGGGCGGCGCCAGCTCCGTGTCCCTCCTCGCGTTCAGGATGGGCTCAGCTATGGTGGCCATCTGCTTCTTGCTCTCTTGAAGCTTTTGTGTGCTGGTTAGGTAATTTTTGGATGTCCCCTCGTCGTGACCTCTGAAACCCTCTATGGCTGACAGATGGAGTTTCTTGGTATGCAAAGCAGAAAGAGGGGCTTTGTATTCCACACCGACTTCTAGGTACAGCTGCTTCTCTTCTGTCACCGTTTTGTCTATTCCCTCCTGCTGACCGAGGTCACCGGGGCTACCTCTGCAGGCAGCGTCAGGGGGATCTCGAAGTACGGGTATTTTTGTTGCCTTTGAGCTCACAGACGTGATCTGCACAGCTCCAGGGCCGCGTGTCTCTGTGTCTGCAGTTTCTGGAGGGGTTGTTCGCCCCTGCGA